CACACAAGCTCACGGTTTACAGGGAACAGCGACATAGACTATCTTCTAAAGTTCCAACCCCACCTCCCTTCACTCAAGGAATAACTGTAGACTAATTCCCTATGCCCCTGTTACTATTCTCAACTCCTGGGCTTTATGCAGGCAGCTCCTGTTGCTGTCTAGCTACATCCCTAGCGACAGCAGAATCTTTTCTGAGTGACCACACAAGCTCACGGTTTACAGGGAACAGCGACATAGACTATCTTCTAAAGTTCCAACCCCACCTCCCTTCACTCAAGGAATAACTGTAGACTAATTCCCTATGCCCCTGTTACTATTCTCAACTCCTGGGCTTTATGCAGGCAGCTCCTGTTGCTGTCTAGCTGGGTGAAACTCATCTAGCAACATAAACCCCTTTAGGCTTTCTGTGCAGTGGACAGTTTGCCCTGAAAAACTTTGATAGCCTGAAAAGGGGAACCACGCCCAGGCAGAGGACTAAGTTATGAAGAGGAAGCTATAGCTCCTGGAGCAAGAGGGGCTGCAGGATGAGAGGATGATGGGTAGAGAGGCTGCCAGAGAAGGGCACAGCACCTGGAAGGAGCGAATCTGCAGAGCAGCTGGGATGAGGTAACACTAATTGTGAGTCAGTCTGTCACAGCCTCACATAATATCATTTGCAGTTGGTAAGATGGCCAGGGTTTGTTCAGGGAGCAAATGATACAGATCAGTTAGAAGGAAGGAAGTGTATAGTTTGTTACACATGGAACATGCATAAGGATGTATGGGAACAATGAATTTATATTGTGTTTGAATGGGTGGTAGCACACAATGGAGAGTCCCTTTCACCCTTCTGTCCACAGCAGCTAAAAAATAATGTCCAGGATAAACCCTGCTAAACTACTAAATCACCAGCACTTTTGTTTGTTGAGCACCTGAATGAAATAGTGCTCCACTGGGCATTAAGAGATTTTTTTCTTTCTAGAAAACTGGAGGAAGCCAAGGTTAAAGGAAGAAGAATCTGTTGCTTGCCTATCAAAAAACAATTTCTACATGAACAAGTTAATTGAGGTAAGTCAACAAATTCTGCTCAGAGGCCTCATGTGGAGAGGAGTAATTGACCTTCCTGTGCAGAGCAATGCTTAAAAAAGGAAAAGTACACATCTCCTTCTCTCTGTTTAATTATGTTTGTTTTCTGCTGCCTGCCTGGCATCACTGTCCCTTGAGCTCCAATTCCAGCCCGATTGCCTGTTCTCGAAGCTAAAAGAGGCAGGCAAGGAAAATACCTGTCTCAGGAGCACTGTAAGAATAAATAGAAAGACCTCTGGGGCTGGGGATTCTGGAGGGCTGGAACTGTCTTTCAATCCCAATCTAGATAAACTTGGAAGGTCAGGGCAATGCTAAACTGGCTGAAATAATTAGCAGGTGGCATCCTCACTTAGCCAGAGGACCTAATTGCCACATAGTAGCATGGAGGCCAAGAGCTCAGGAAGATTCATGTCTGGATAACAAGTACATTGAACATTTGAGGGGAATCTTTAAGGAAAAAAAAGTAACCGATTTGGGAAAGAGAAAAGGCACCCACATACAACAATTAGGAGTTAGGAAGACACTCCCTATTTATTGGGGAGGTTTCGTACCTGCCTCTGATGAATCTGGTGCAGGCCTCTCCTGAATACAACTGGCCTGACTCAGTCTGCATTTATGATGGCAAGAAATAAGCTGCCTTGTTCTTGTCACCTGGATATAGCTGGCTAACTCTCTCCTCTTAATTCTCATTTCTCTACTTGACTCTCATGCATGCCATTGCTGGGCTTGAGTCATTGGTGTTGCTGGAAGAGTGTTCTGAATGCTGCTCTTTACCTTTATAAACTTTTTTTAATTTACCTGCCCATTCTCTAATACACCAGCTTTCTCTCCCCCCCTCCAAATCTTCCCCCCAAATGCCCTATTTACCTTTGAAAGGAAGCTTTTATAAATGAAGAGTATATAAAGCGAAGTACATTGACTCAAAACGAACCTTTTAGCCATCAACTTCTGGTAACTAAATATATGGCTGCAGGTTTCATGTACCTTAAACAAGTGACTGTACATTCTATGGGATTTTTACCTAAAAGAACAAGTTAAATTTCAAGTTAAACTTAGACAAGTTAGAAGTCTTCAAGTCACCAGAGCTTGATGAAATGCATCCTAAAATACTCAAGGAGCTGACTAAGGAGATATCTCATTAGTTATTACCTTCCAAAAGTCATGGCATATGGGAGAGATTCCAGAAGACTGGGAAATGGCACTATATTTGCCCATCTATGAAAAGGGAAAGACAACCCAGAGAATTACAGACAAGACATCTTAACTTCTGTACCAGGAAAGATAATGGAGCAAAAAATTAAAGAATCCATTTACAAAAATCTAGAAGATAAGGTGATAGGTAACTGCCAGCATGGATTTGTAAAGAACAAATTGTGTCAAACCAACTTTATCGGGTTGGTTTGTTTGTTTTGACAGGCTAACAAGTATTGTGGATAAGGAGGTAGCAGTACATGTGGTATATTTGTAAAGCATTTGATTCAATCTCACTAACAAACTAGGGAAATACAACCTAGATAGAACTACTAGTAGGTGGGCGCAAAACTGGTTGAATAACTATTCTCAGAATTAGGTAGTTGGATAACTATTCTCAGTTATCAGTGGTTCAAAGTCATGCTGGAAGGGTATAACAAGTGGGGTTCCACAGGGATTAGTTTTGGGACTGGCTCTGTTCCAGCTATTAATACATGATTTAGATAATGTCAGAGAGAGTACACTTATACATTTTGCAGATGATACAAAGTTGGGAAGGGTTGCAAGTGCTTTGGAGGATAGGATTATAATTCAAAATGGTCTGGACAAGGAGTGGGCAATAATTTTTGATGGAGAGGACACTCCAAGAATATGGTAAGTGGTCAAGGGCCACACTCTATGGTAAGCGGTGCAGGGTCTGGGGTTGAGGTTGGATGCAGAAAGACAGTGGGGGTAAGGGACTGAAGTGTAAGAGAGAAGCGGTGGGATCTGTGAGGGAGTTTGAGTGAAGGAAGCGTTGTGACTGGGGTGTTGTGACCGAGTGAGAGCGGGGCAGGAAAGGAGCCTGAATGAAGCTTCCACAGGCTGGATCTGGAAGCTTGGTGTCCTGGATTTGGCCTGTGGGCCGAATTTTGCCTAGCTGTAGTGTGGACAAACTGAGGAAATAGTCTGAGGTTTATAGGATGAAATTCAATATGGACAAATGCAAAGCACTCCACTTGAAAGGAACAATCAGTTTCACACCTACAGAATGGGAAGTGACTGTCTAGGAAGGAGCAATAGTAGACCACAAGCTAAATTGTGACTGTTGCAACAAAGCAAACATCATTCTGGGATATATTAGCAGGAGTGTTGTAAGCAGGACACAAGAAGTAATTCTTCCATTCTGTGCTGATTAGACCTCAACTGTAGTTACTGTGTCCAGTTCCGTCCGGGTGCCACATTACAGGAAAGATGTGGTTAAATTAGAAGAAGTCCAGACAAGAGTTTTAAAAAAAAAAAAAAAAAAAAAATTCAGGGTCCAGAAAACATGACCTACAAGGGAAGATTAAAAGAACCAGATTAGTTTAGTCTAGAAAACAGAAGGCTGAGAGGAGACATAAAAGTTTGTTACAAGAAAGAGGGAGAAAAAATATTCTCCTCAAGCTCTAATGACAGGATAAGAAGCAATGCAGTAAGGGAGATTTGGATTGGACATTAAACTGCAGTAAGGGAGGTTTGGATTGGACATTAGGAAAAACTTCCTGTCAGGGTGGCAAAGCACTGGAATAAATTGCCTTGGGAGGTTGTGGAATCTCCATCATTGGAGATTTTAAAGAGCAGTTTAGACATGCACCTGTGAGGGATGATTGGGTGGGCAAATAGTGTCCATGGGCTGAATCTGGCCCACCAAGCCATTTATCTGACCTGTGGTTACCCTGCCACTCCCCTGCCCCTAGACAATTGAGATCTGGGGATAGAGAGCATGTGAAGTTTCCTCCCCCTGCTAGGGATGCATGGCACCTGGAGGGAGCTGCCAGCTGTTCAAAATATCTGGTGGTTTCTTCTAGGTGCCACACACCCTTGGTGGGGGTGGGCAAAGACTTCCCGTGCTCCCCTGTTCCCAGGCCAATCAGGGTCAGTGGGCGGGGGAGCACAGGAAGTCTCCTGGCCCCACCTCTTCCGGGGCAGCACACGACTGCTTCTGAAGTGGCCCTCCCCTTCAAAAATTATTGCCCACCCCCTGTTCTAGATGATGCATGGTCCTGCCATGAGTGCAGGAGACTGGACTAGAGGACCTCTCAAGGTTCCTTCCAGTTCCAGTATTCTATGATTCTATAACACCTGGAGTTAGATTTTGACCCCAGTCATAGGACAAGGGTAATGACTTTTGAATCCTTGCAAGATTGTGTGATGGGGGCAGGGAAAAAAGTTCTGATCTCAGCCTCTTTGTGTGTGTCACCTTTATTTAAGGTGATCATTTAGAAAATGGCTATGCCCATTTAAACATTTTAAACACATTTTCCCAAAATAGTGGGGCTAATTTAAACTGACGTTCCGCGTTTCATTTAACTGGGAGGAAAAGGGGTTCGGTGGGGTTTCTGTGACTGAAAACAAACGTCTCCAGCCAAAATCCAACCTCCCCGAGGACGCTGAGGCGGAGGGAGGGAAGGGAGCCCGGCTCTGCTGTGCGTGATCCAAAACACACGAGCTCTTACAACTGCTGCCCTTGCCCCTTCTCTTCCCAATCGTATTTCTTCAGCTGAGCCGAGGCAAGACCCCACTTGCTCGCGCCTGCTGCGGGGCTGGTCCCGGGGCAATAACGGGGCTGGGCTTGCCTGGGAGGGCAGGAGATGGGCACGGGCCGCGCCGGAGCGTCACTTGGCTAATGGGCATGTGCGGACACGTCGCACATGCTCCCTCGGGCCGCGCCGAGGCTCGGGCCATGTGCCGCAGCCAAGCGGGCTCATTGGGCAGGGGGGCTCATTGGGCAGGGTCTGCTGCTGCTGCTCCGGGAGCTTTTCCTGCTGCCGCCGCTGCTCGCAGGCGCTATAAATAGTGTCCCAGTCCAAAATGCTCCGGTCTCTAGCGCGCTTGGCTCGCGGGCGAGCGCTGCCACCCTCGCCCCGGGCGTAGGGAGCCCGGCGGGCCCCAGGCGGAGTGCGGTAAGGGACCGGGGTCCCCGGGGGGGCGAGGCCAGGGGGGTTCTGCAGCTGTGCGTGGGGGGTTGGCAGCGCGGGCGCCTAGGTGGGGTCAGACCCTAGCAGCAGCTGGAGCGCGGCGCTGCCGGCGGCGGGCTGTTTGTGTGG